GTACCGCTGAATTGGGGCTGACCACTGTTGAATATCGGTGAATATTAGTTTACATTGATTTCCGTTGGCTGAGTGACGACGTTTGGCTGAGGACGTCCTGTAATTACTTCTTTAACGCCCACGTAAATTCCGTCTTATTTGGAGAACATTGAAAAATTATAAGGTAAATCACATGATAGATGAGTCAGTGAAATTTCGATTATATTATATGCATCTGGAGGATGAACTGTTAACGCTTATTCGCGTATATCTTCATGTGTCTTTTGCAAGCATATATTGCATGTATAAGTGTAATTATTTACTAGTGTTTACCATGATTTTTTCATATATGTGTCTGACTGTCTATGTGCCATTACCCATTTTAACTACTCCTTGTGTTCCGTGCTTCCTAATAAGAATCGCGCTTAATAAGGTTCAGTAGGCAGATAAATACTTCTCTCAAATGCACATATCCCATTAGTATTCATGATTTGTCTTTCCACATATGAATGGTTGTAACAAGTCCTCACACTCCGATTTTATCACCAACGCTGGATTTTGGGCTTAGCCTGGTTACAATGTATGAAATCAATTAGTAACTACAGTTCAATACCATAACTCACCATCAACCATAGTCAACTATGGTCTATAATAGGACACTAATTACTCACATTCCCGCCTCACTGTTTAATCGAGTATTCGACTTCAGTCACACCCGTTGCGATTTTGCTACCCGCCTAATTACTCATTTATTTTCTTAGAATATACCCAGTCTACTCCCTACGTTTCAGCAAATTTAATTTTTTTAGTTTCTACTCACAATTCCACAGCCGTTTACACAATCTACATTGGTAATCTACTATAAATTCTCTGAGTGATACGTATAATGCTGTTCATTTTTGTTTTTTTCACAAACGTAGTTGGTAAAACATTTCGACATACTCTTTGAAATCGAGAAAAAATTCACCTTGCAATGATCGATGTTATATCAAACCTATAAAGGCTCTTCTACCTTCTAGACTGACCGAGTTCTTCACTCTTCTGAAGCTACTTAAGAAGTATTGTGAAGATAGGCCTGACAAGCTTACTTTGTAAATAGTTTTCAATGTTAATTGTATTTATTTTGTCAACCTTCCACTGTATGTATATTTAACAATAAATGACTGTAACTGTTGTTTTAGTAAATGACCTTGAACATACTTTTCCGTTGTGCAACCACATAGCGTGACATACTCTTGCTGGCTAACAAATACACTACTACTCACACATTCCTCGTTCTATCTTCGTTTGTGATTGAGTTAACTGAAGTCTAAATCAAATACTATCATTATTTATAGACTGTAATTGGAATATATCACATCCTACGTTGGATTATATCACTGGAGAGTTCGTCAACCCGCTCAGAATCACCAAGCATTTATAGTTGTGGATTTATAATACCGGACCAAATCAGAACACACAACATTTGGTCAATTTAAGTAACGTCCCAAATTTTTATTGTATTTGTAACAATTAACTGGTATATATTAATATTACTATTGATCTTTAGTAACTTTGTCGATACTTACCGCGTTCATATCTGTCTGGTCCACCACAGTATCTCCGTGAGAATAACGATTTTTCGACGTTCACTGAATTGGATTGATTTAGTGGAAGAGGAACCATTGCTGAACAATATTGTGTAATATGGACAGTGGGTGCTTGCCTATTTTGACGTCAGAAGGTAAAACGTAAATACTGAGAACCAGAACGTATACTATGATCATGTCATTTGCGTCTGCTCATTTTGATAACCGGTATAGCTCGCAAGAGAATAGTCAAGGAGTGGATGAGTAATTTACCGTTACCATGAAATGAATCTTGAAGATTGAAGTTTATTGGGATATTATACAATGGAGACAAAAACCGCAAAAGAGAACACATCGGTCCGTAATCATTCATGCTACAGAAAGTATCTGACAAACTATGCGCGGTTTCAATACTATAACAAAAAGAATCTACGAATTAAAGAACCAAGGATCTTACATAAATGGTAACCTAACTAGGTACAGAAACATGTAAGCCGAAGCTACAACAAAACTGTAACAACAACTTACTGCAAAAATCGGAGAAATGAAATATGCTAGTGTCCGTTAACCATTTAGTAATACTTTAAATAAAGTTCTTATTGATTTTAGAATTGTAGAAATTTGACAGAAAGAATGCGTTGGAAATTCCTTTAAAGTGTTTGTTTGAGCAGTATAGTTATTTCTTTGTTCCTTAGTACCGTCTCCTAAGTTGTAGCCACATTTGATGTTCTTCTATCTCCTCTATTTGGGCTTATATTATTTCACTTTGCTTGAGATATACCCTTGTCACTTAATTTTTCTGTTGCTTGTTGTCAAGCTAGTGACAACAAGGATGTGGTTGACTAATCTCAGGGTCACGGCGTGGTCCGGTTAATGATCGTTGACCTTTGACTGCATGCTGCATACCTTTGGAGACGATTGATTAATACCATCTTCTTACGACTACTGTTACAGATTCCCAGGTACCAAACACTTACTTATTGACCATTCCCCTTGCTACTTAGCACGCTATTTCTTCTAGATTATACTTGAGCAGTTTGAGGTATCTTGTAATTTCGATATAATTTGTTTTTTTTCTTGAATAGGTATGAATTAAACTAAGCTTAGCGTTTACGTTTTGATATAATTTAGTACGAGTCACTCAGAAACACTGCGTGTACCATACAGAAGAATGTCATTTGATTTAACCGAATAAAATTTTGTTCGTTAGCTCAAAGTTTGAATCAATCACTGGAATTTTGGTCATTTCGACGAAAGCTGGTGGAATGTTGAGCCAAATATATTGATCAAATGACTCATTTATTCTTAGATTCAGTAGAGTAAGTACAAATCTTTTACAGGTTTGCAGAAATAATTGCTTTAGTTTCAACTCCCAATGCTTTCTTTGAGAAAGCTATCAGCTGCAACCGTTCTTTTAGCACGCTGTGATTGTAGAGTGACAGGATTAGTGCACATACAAAATAGGTTAACCAGATGTCAACCTACTGGGTAAAAGGAAACAAGTGCCTGAATAGAGTTACGATATCTGGCGGCGTCAAGCGGGTGAAGGTAGATCATTATCGTGGATTGACTGAAACAAAACTTTAACACTCGGATCTCATGTCAGCGGTGCAGATATTAAGAGTTCGCACTCAAGACTAAAGACTGTGTGTTTGATTTTGCGGGTTCAATGTCGTCAGCGTGCACTTCTGAGATGTCTCACACTATAATGAAATGTTTTTTAGTGCTTCTATGTTTTTAATGGTAGGCTAGCAGAGATCAGTCAGTGTTTTACGCTACGAAAGGTTATTCCATACTACAGTATAAGTGGTAGATTTTATCGCAGAATTCGCAAATGGATAGAGCTATCTTGAAACAGCAAATTCATGTCACTAGTACTAGCTATACTGCCATTTATTGTTGCAGGGGTTTACATCATTTCCTGGTTCACCAGTACCACGAAACTAGGAAACTACTCATCTAGTGTTTCATCTTGATGGTCCTCATTTACTGTTTACAATAAAGGCCTCGTAAGCAAATGTCAAATTATACTGATAGATCAACAATATGACACTCTAATTCGTGAAACCCTACCTCAAGATTTTTGCAAGATATCTATCCAATATATTGTATGCCGACGTTACTTAACACCAGAGGATATTCAGCATCAATACAAGTGGCCAATCATTGTCGTAGTAAACTCACTTTACAAACACAGGCAAAACAACCTATATACCAATCAGCCGTTTGTGAATAACAGCAAATGTTTTTCCTATGCAGATGGCTCCCAAATTATAGGACTATATTCTCATACACTACAATAATTATGCTTTTACATTTCATCAGTGACATGTGAATGAACCTACAAGCACAAACGACCTGTAAATAACTCAAGACAACGGATACATGACGTATTGTAGATGTTTACGTTATGTTCTTCGAGCCCTAAAAATTCGAATCTACATCAAAAATAGGAAACAATTAAGTGCAAGTTATTCTGGGCGTCTTCTAAGGCCCACAACCCAGCTTTGTACACGTTGCGAAGCCCAGCCCGACACGTAAAATTGAAAATGTGAATGTTCAGAATTTGCAGTTGCGGAATTAATGACAATCAAAGGTTTTTAACGGGAATGCATAAATTGCCCAACGAACCAATGAAATACACAAAGTTTCATAACCGGATGATTACATGCTACATGATTTCCGCATTATATGACATTTACTAATACGATTTGTCAATTCTTGCACATGATTTATTATTTATTGCTGTTCCACGTCACTTCGGAGAAAAGATTTCTACCGCGTTGGCCGGAAGTCCTGAAGGTAGGTAGCGGAGCGTATGGTGAATCTTTTGACGCCATTAATAATATGGATGTGGGTAGACATCTAAGATTTTACAAACACTTGACAAGTGTTAGGACTTACTAGCCATCCACTTCACTCATACCTCTCTCGTATGTCTTCTGACAGAGCGAGGTGCGAATACACCAGAATCCATGCGCGCGAAAGGGGCATGAAAGCTCTGTGACATCTTATCTAGCAAATATACTATATGACGGATGTAAAGTCAGACCTATTCAATAATTTGTATCTCTAAATATGTTTCAACAGAGAGCTGTACAGGTTTTTATCGCATCAAAAATGCTTTATTTAATTCCGAGTAGTTTATTTACTCAATTTATGCATATGTGTATGCAGTTATCGGCTTTTTATTTTGCAAAAGAATCTCTAGATTTTTCCACGTATTAACCATTTTGAAGTGAAACCCTACATTGAAGAGTAAATGAAGAAATGTCTTCAATTAGAATTTCACTCACGTTCTGCATAGGTATATTAGGGACAAGATTGAACCAGACATTGTTGTTATTAACCGTTTGACCTACATCACTAGTGATAGTGATAGAACTGAAATTGAATGTTGTACAATCGAACTGGCGGGCGCGGCGTTTTGAAGCCATCGGATTTGTTGGAATTATGGGGTCCTCACCAGAGATGGAGGGGTTTGGTTTGTCTGATGTGGAATATTCGTTCATGATGGATCCTTTAAAACGACGCCACAACCAATCAAAAAAGCAAACAATATACGGGATTTTTGCCTCAGACGATTCTGATTCAGAGCCTGAAAGAAGTGGCTTCGGTGGACGTGAAGCTGGTTTCAAGCGTAAGGGTGCCAATTATTCAGCACCGATCACCTTTGTCAGTGGTGGAGTGAAGGTAGGGTATATTTATGTTAAGGAAGGCTAGGTGACAAATAATGAGATTCATCGACGAGCTAACAATTCAGTGTTCCCAATTCTATGCTGTGAATAGATTATTAGGTGTTGCGATCATCTGAGAGGTTGTAATAGTTACATCGCCGCTTAGTTGTAAATCGCTTTTTCGATTATTATTATTTCAAGTTGTATGAACTCATTAGGCTCTAGCAAAGATGCCTGGGATAGATATAACCATTGTTTAGCTAACATTTTGGCAGTAAACCTGCACTGTCAAAATGATTAAGTAGTTCAGTCGTACGGAAGATGTGCCAATTATTTTTGTGCATAATAGCCGTCCAGAACATGCATTTATTATGTCCCATGTTTGTTTCGTTCATTTATTCAACTAATTTGCAAGTCTCGTTTGTCAAGTAAAAATGTGTTTTCGAAGGTCCTAAGTATTTTCTACCATTGTAGGCAGGTGCCGGTGCTTCGTCTGGTCCGAAAGAAAATAACGAAGAAGTCGACCAGATTTCGGATGATGAAGACGACAAATCTGTCCTAAGGAGTTTGCGTCCTTATCATGATTCAGACTCTGACTCACCAAATTCAGACATTTATCGTAAACCTGACAAGCCTGTGGGCATATCCGTTGGGGCCAGTCGACGTGTAGCAGCAGCCGCTGCAGCGGCGAAGTCTGCGACCTCTGGTTTCGGGGCTTGGGAAAGGCACACAAAGGGTATTGGAATGAAACTTTTAGAGCAGATGGGTTACGAACCGGGCAAGGGTCTTGGTTCTGACGGTCGGGGTATTGTTACTCCAGTTCAAGCTGTCCAACGAGTGGGGAAAGTATCAGTAGGGTACTTTGGATCTGAAAAGGCTCCCGCCCCTCGTCGAGGAAATGAGACTGTCGTTGAAGATTCAGACTCTGGTAAGTTATTTTTGATCTATAAGTAACCTACAAATACTATCTGACTCAAGGCTGAATACTCAAACATTTATTTTGTAATGTAGTTGTATTTGTATGCTATTGTTTAGATTTGAGACTATATGCGTCAAATAAGCCTAGTGAATTATACTTATACTAAATATTTAAATCTAAAATTGTCTGTTTAGTAATTGTATTATTGCAGGTATATTCTTGATACGAGTATTGTTACCATTATTCAACCAGTAACAACGTAGAACTTCGTAGGTACGTAGATCAGTTCTAGTTGCCATACCACATTATCACAGAAGTACAATTATCGGTTCAAATCCCATAGTGGCAGAGGTAGTGAAAGTATAAGCAGTAATAGGTAGATGTTAGTCAAGGAGTATAATCCAGTGAAATAAATTTGGAAGGAGAAAAAATAAGGGACATGAAGAATTCAGAAGATTAAAATTTGGGAGAACACAAAGGGTGGATGCACCTGCGCCGTTGCAAACGATTTTGAGCTATATCATTCAAGGTCTCTAACCGTCGGTTGCTATCGTCCAGCGAATCCCAACCAGGTAGTCTACACCTACCAACATGGCTCAGTTCACTTGTCGGTGACTTCATGGATTTGTGCCATGTTTTGGTCTGGCCGCCCCTAGCTTTCTTCCAACCTACCCCTACACCATAAAAAATCGTACGTCGGGGCAGTCGGTAGTTGGGCATACGTAGCACATGCCCCAGTCATCTCAACTGATGAAGTTTCACTACTTCATCAATTGATTTTCCATCCTAACCTAGTACCCGTTTCCTAACAACTGCATTACTTACTCGGTGGTCCCAGGATATACGAGCAATGTTTCGAAAACACCGATGATCTAATACTAGTAACCTACAAATATCCCCTACTCTTACCGGCCATGTTTCACTGCCATAAAGTAGGACGGAACGAACAGCTGCACAGTAAACACGTCCTTTGGTTGATAGACGGATATCTCGCCTACGCCACAAATGACGCAAGTTAGCAAAAGCTAAGTCGAGCCTTCTGTACCCGTGCTGAGATTTCGTCACACACCAGACCACAAGGGCTGATGAGACTCCCAACATGAGTGAAGTGGTCGACACGCTCAACTACTTCACTCCCTATCATTAGTTCGGGTGTCGATGCCACCCAATACTGAGGCAACATTTTGCATTTCCAGGGGGAATCGCATCCCGAACATGTTTGCGTTGTTGCTTATAGCGGTCAGAAGACTCTGCATTTTGTCAGCGTCTTCACTAAATAGAACTATGTCATCGGCATATTTCAAGTCAACAAGTGAATCTCTCGGTAGAAGTTCAACCCTTGGAAATTTAGATGGGGAAAGTGTCATCTCTAAAAGCACGTCAACGACAAAGTTAAACAAGAATGGGGAGGGTGGACACCCTGACGGACACCACGTGACGTAATCAATTCTGATGACAGTTCGCCCTAAGCTCTCACTTGACCTGTTGTGTCCGATTAATGAGCCTATATAAGGTTCATGTACTTTGGTACGCCTTTCAGTGGCAAACGCTGCCATAGAACCATTATTTTTAATCTGACTAGTTATGCTGTAACAGATAACTCGACTCATAAGGGATTTATACATCATATTTGAAATAATCTCAGCGATCGAAATTTAAACAATTCCAACTTTTCGTCCAGCTAACTTGTCTGGACTTCTTCAGGGTAATAATCAAAATCAGAACTATCAAAGAAATATGTAGCTTTTTGACAATTAAAACTATACTGTGTTAAACCAATCAAATTTGGATGTTGATTTTTGTAAAATAGGATAAAATGAGTCAGTCAACTACAAATCATGTGAAAAAATTCAACTACATGGAAATAATTAACTGAATAACAAATTGTATGTGTCTTAGCTTGTAGTTATGTCTGTATGTGTGAGAATAATTATTGATATTCGCTGTTATATATGAAGGAATAAATAAATAAAATTTCAAGTTCAAGGTTGAAAAATTGTTGATGAATCATCGATGTGAATGTCAAATTTAAGAATCAAACAAATACGTAATTGTATTGCTAATAACTCATTGAATTCAAGAAAAAATAACGATGCATGTGAAATAAACAGGTTGAATAAAGAGAGGGTTCAAATTACTTGTCAAAAAAAATTTGCCAGGTAGTCGCTAGTTGAATACCATCCTTACGGTTCAAGCTGTTCTTGTTCGTCCATATATACAGCGTCTTTGCTGTCAATCTTTCTTTATGAGTGTTAGAACCTTTCTGATGTATTTTGGTCCCTTCAAAATTAATCTTGTGTCCTGTTTCTAACGCATTTAACGCCATTGCAGACTTATTCTCAAGTTTCTTCAAATTAACCGAGGATTTGGGAACAATTTTCAAACATTGTTTGTGTTCCTTCAACTTTACATTCAATTTTCTAGATGTTTCTCTAACATAGGTTGTTATTCAGTTAATTATTTCCATGTAGTTGAATTTTTTCACATGATTTGTAGTTGACTGACTCATTTTATCCTATTTTACAAAAATCAACATCCAAATTTGATTGGTTTAACACAGTATAGTTTTAATTGTCAAAAAGCTACATATTTCTTTGATAGTTCTGATTTTGATTATTACCCTGAAGAAGTCCAGACAAGTTAGCTGGACGAAAAGTTGGAATTGTTTAAATTTCGATCGCTGAGATTATGTCAAATATAATTTTCACATATAATGACTTCTCCATACTCGGCGCCCAATTTCTGTCAAACTATTCGTTCTAATCTTGACGAATATTCGTATAAATGATTTATACATAGTCTGTGGATGCGGTGTTTCTTAATCCCGTTCTTGCTCGTTATTGTTTATACATACTATTTCCCCTCTAAATTACGTGAATTTGTTACCAAAGTACTATAGTTGTTATAGTCATGATAAAATGGTTTGTATTGGATTTTAAATTAGAAATTACTACTTAGGTACTGATTATGGGCTTATTCACCATGATAGCTAAGGATACTACCCTGTTGCCAAAACTAACGTAGGTGGAGCGGGCTCCCAACTTAGGATTTCGTGCTTGAAGACCAAACACGACCACTAGGCCACCACTCTATAAGTTTATATTACAACAGGCAGATGTCAGAGATCACTGCGTGGTGACCTTCATCTTTATCCTCAGTTTGTCGTGTTATTTGATGAAAAGTACTTTCTTGATTGAATATTTTGTGTATTCATTGTGATTTTAATTTACTAGTATATTCAGTTGTACACCCACTGTTCTTTCGACGACTATGTAAGTATTGTTCAGATGATTGTTTCGTGAGCTAATTGTTTTAGGCACTGGATATTGTAGTTAAAGTATCAGTCTTGGTTTTAGCTGTTTATCTCTGCTACTATTAGACCAGATAACATTCAAAATACATGTTATTTCGGTCATCTGAAAACCTAGGTAGGTTTTATGAGGAGCATCTTTGTATTTCTTCTGTGTTCTGCAACTGACTGCTAAATGAAGATAACAACAATGAAGCGTATCCCATTACCAAAATACTCGCTATCATGTCAGTGTTCAGCTGAACGATCGGAGCTCTTTTTAATTAGGTCAAAACAATTGGTTGCTACCACTACCCCCGACTCTGTAGCTGATAATCTGTGGTTGATTACTGGATTGTAGTGAAAGAATTTGGAGTTTGTCCCTTATCTATTTTATATTTGTCCCAATCTCTAACCACTAGTGTATGGTTGTATATGCTAAACTAGCTGGAACCACATTCGGACTGTTCTACGTTATTCATCTTAAAACCGTCTCACTAAATGTAAGGGGAATAACGTTCAGTTTCCAACATAGCTTCGCGTTTTTGATTTTCATGAATACCAATTAGTAAAGTAAATCGAATGAGGAACGATACAATATGGTTAAGTAATAACTGTTCAGGAGGTTGTTTGCTGACTCGTTACGTTTATTAAATCTAATAAACGGTAAATAGAATGCTTGACAATTGATCTCGCAATTCAAGTTGCGTTAACTTTCCGATAAGAAAACACTACCTTATATACAAAGGTATAAAACGAAATAAAAATGATCATACATTGCGTACAGCATAGGTTGTTAAACTACGATGATACTGTAAATTCAACAAACATCCACTGAATTTAAGATTTCGGGTATCAGTTGTATTTCTGTTCTTCACGCTATTCAACTCAGTGGACCTTAGAAGGCTGTGCGTGTCCATTGTTAGTTATCACGTTTACTCATCAGATGTCTACTAGACATACTCCACGAAGGTTTTAGTGATTCATTGTGATTTTTGGCGGCGTTGTTGATGACAAAAACCAGGACTGAAGGTATTCAACTTTATTTCTGCCACACCTCAACACAGCATGACGTCATCACTCTCGTATGTATAAAGCACTGTGCACACAACAAAAGAATCAACGTAGGCTTTCATAATATCATTTGATTAACAAATGGTTTTCCTGTAAATGACATCAAAGAATAAGGCTTTGCTATACTATAAAACTGGTTTAGAAGTACATTAATGCGTACGTAATTTTTCCCTGTATTTCACACAGTCGGGCCACGTTACAAGAAGAGGCCTGGATTACAACGGAGTCAAGCATCAAAGCCTATACAGGAGTATAAAACCACTGAGGAATTAGTCGCCGATCTTTGTCCTGCAACCCCAGCTACAGCTGTTAGGCGACATGGGATTTTCTTGGAGAACAGGTAGGTACTATTTGGGATATATATATATATATATATATATATATATATATATATATATATTACACCTGTTACTTCTCATAGAGGAGCGTAGGCTGCCCACCAACATTCTTTGAATCCTATCCTGGTCAATCCTTTCCAGTTGCTATTCATTCTTTTGATGTCTGCTTCTAATTATCGGAGCAATGTATTTCTTGACCTTCCTCTTTTCCTCTCAGAGTTAGCGCTTGCCTCGTGATACAGTTTGATGATTTCTGCAATGTGTATCCTATCCACTTCAATCGTGTTTCCCTAATTTCCTCCTCAGCTGGAAGTTGTTCTCTCCCACAGTAGGCTGTTGCTTGTGGTATCCAGCCAACCGATATTGAGTATCTTGTGCAGACAATTGTTTATAAATACCTGTACTATTTTGATACTGGTTGTGGTAGTTCTCCAAGTTTCAGCTCTGTACAGTAGAACTGTTTTGACGTTCGTATTGAAGATCCTGGCTATGGTGTTGGCTTACAGACATGTTTTGAGTTCCATATGTTCTCCAACTGTAGGGATACAGCCCTTCCTTCTCCAATCCTTGCCTTTACCTCTGCATCAGATCCTCTTTGTCCATTGATGTTGTTACCCATGTACGTGAGAGTTTCCACCTCTTCCAGGGCTTCACCATCAAGTTTGATTGAGTTGGTATGTAGGAAGTAATTTCTAAGCTATTCTCTAGACTGTCTAGCGCAGAGTCTTGGTTTAGCCAAAGTCAGAACAAGTAAGCTATTTAGCTTGATAAACTTTATCTATTTCTAAAAAAGAACACAAAATAAACAACACAGTCTACTAAACAGGGGAAATGAGAGACATAAATAACGTACCGAACAGTAACTAGAGGATGGGAAAAATGAGTCAAGGCGAATATTGTTTTATAATGAACATAAAATTGTGATTGGTAAATAAACAAGACAAAGTCATACGTGGTGAAAGAAAGTTAATGTGATAGTGAGAGTTTCACTTCAGCAGTAGTGGGTTCGTTTATTGATCACACTTTATGTGGTGTTCTCTGTGTTGTACTTAAAGATCTTAGTTTGTCCCTTGTGTATGTTGAGGCCTACTGCTACAGATGCTGCTTACACACCGGCTGTCTTCACCTGTATTTGTTGGTGTGTATGGAATAGAAGAGCTGGGTTGTATGCGAACTCCAAACCGTCTAGCTGCATCCATTGTATGCGTTTGTGGGGGAATGTTGTGCGGCTTATAACTATTTTGAATGCACATGAGTTTGGAAGTCTACCACCATTCTCGTTCCTTCTTCTCAGTCACTCCATGTCGTTCCATGGTATCTTCATACCCAGTGTTGTCCATTCCGAATTTGGCGTCTAGGTTTCCGATTAGGATGGTCAGGTCCTTTCCTGTTCACTTCTCTACGATCGATTGCAGCCTTTCGTAAAACTGGTCTTTATCGTCTTTTTTGCTATCATTGGTGGGTGCATAACATTGGATAACATTCATCGTGATCCCCCCTTTGCTCTGAAGGATGCTTTGATGGTCTTAGATCCATGAGATTCCCATCCTATTAGTGCCTTACATGCTTTTTTGGACAGCATCAGTGCAACTCCTTGCACGTGCGAAGCATTTTTTTCATGATCAGAGTACAACAACATCTCTCCCAATGTTAATCTTTTTTGTCCAGCTCGGTTTCAAAGGGCTTCACTTATTCCGAGCACCGTCAAGTCCTATCTCCACATTTCAGAGGTTATTTGACCGGTCTTTTCGGCCTCCCACACTGTCCAGGTATTCCATGTGTCTATATTAATTAATTGTTTTTCTGGTTGTTAGAAGAGGCATCGACATTGTGACATCCAAAGAATCCGGGCTTTTACCATGAGGCGTTTTAATTCTTCTAAATGCAGATCCGTAAACTCAGAGCAGAGTTTAAATGGTTTAAATTGCTTATTCTGGTTGGCTTTTTTTAGCAAGGTTGTTTTCTACGGGATCGGGTAGCTGGCTTCATGCCCAACCCTCCTCCTTTACCCGGTCTTGGCACCGGCAGTAACCCTAGAAGAGCTACAGGCGGTTATATATATATATATATATATATATATATATATATATATATATATATATATATATATGTATATATATATATATTAGGCGTAAGTATTAATTAAAGCACTTGTAAGGCTTTTTTACAACAAACTGTTAGACTGAAAGTAAGGTAGAAAGCTTATTCAATGGTTAAGGCCCTTGACTTCCCACAGCCAAGTAACGAGTTAGAACCCTGTTCCACCTATTTTGTTTAGGGCATTCGGTTAGCTCAAAGTATCTTAATAAATAATACCTATCTGCTCATTTACAATTATTTTTTACTATAGCTTATCAGCTCAAGTATATGATTATCTTTGCAGGTTAACAATGTGAAGTTGATTTCTACCTTTATCGTCAAAATATATGTTACCGATTAAAGGTTTCGAATAATGAGTTAATTCTATTGATGGTTTAAAATGTTAGGATTTTTCCTGTCCAATTTTTTGTAGGTTAGAGAATTGATGTCCTAGTGATTGAAGTTAGCCTTTGACAGCTGGGCTGCAGCATAGCAGTCCATTAATCTACTTCATTTTGAACAGGTTGGTGGTACCACCAACCTTTACACTGAGTTATGGCTTAAAACCAATTACATGAACCTACACTATGTAATAATATCGCCAGACAGTTAATAAGACTGTTTTCACTTGATAAAATAGTGATATTTCATTCATGGTAATATAACTCGGACATCTCTAGTTGACTGCATTAATTTTTCTACCCATTTATTATGTTTTATTTGTTTAGTGAATTGTCCAAAGTAAAGGTTATCGATATGACAAGTAAGGAGCAAAAGGTGTACTCTGGTTATGAAGCTGCTTTATCTCGTGTTGTGCAAAGGCGCCGAAAACCGGGAGATAATTCTACTCTCTCAGATGAAGAAAATCCAGATGTTGATGGTAAACGAATCGAAAAAAAGGTTGGAAGGGAATTTCTTTGATTGTCCCGCTCTGCGACACAATTTCGCCCTGATAATGCGGTCCGCTGAAGATGAAATTAGGAGGTTTGATCGGGCTGCTAGATTCGAGGAAGATCGCGCAGTTGGTTTAGAACATGAAATCGAAAAATTAACTGAGGTCTGTTTAGCTTTCCTTTTTCTCAAATTAATTAGCAAAAGGTATGACATTTTCATGCTTTGCAATATCGCCATTTTATTTCGATGAGAATGTTCTTGGTTAAGTTGCGGAAGTCGAGTACACAGTGCAACATTTTACTACTAACTAAAATCATCTAGGACATATTTCACTTCATTAAGTCAGCTAGTCAATCAACGTAGAGACTGAAACAAGCATATGTGATCCCAATTTGCTATGTAATTTCAATACGATAAGACGAGATTGACAAAATTAATAGCAAGATGGTTGTGCGAATGATAGCATCAATTACAGTAGAAATGATTAAACCATGAGAATATGGTTTGAAAAGCTTAGAATCTAGGGAAGACGAGAAATCGATGCATCTGCGTCTCTATGATCGGACAATACGGCATACACCGAATGCAAATGACTTTATGGACTGATATGACGTTTTGGTTTGATCATCTTCAGCTATCTTCCATCTGCCTGCTTTACCGGTCAGGATTACACATCAAGTAGGCTGTGGTTGGGTCTGCGCGACACACTGTACGTCCCATCTTAGTTAAAAATCTACAACCTCATCAACTGATTTGCCATCTGTGTTTAGTACAACATCAGCATTATTCACTATGTCGTCCTAAAATACTTCAGTAGTTCTCCGAAGAAACTTACGATCAGAAACTTTAAGCCTGCGCATGTCTTCTACTTTCATACCCTGTATCTCACAGCCGTAGACTAATACGGAACGGACTACTATGCAGTATATTCTCCTTTTGTATCGTAGACAGACATCTCGTCTACGCAATTTTCTTAGTCTAACGAAGCCAAGCGAACTTTTTGAATTCGTGCGAAAATTTCATCAGACACTGGGTCACCAGGACTCATAAGATTTCTAAAAGAACTGGAGTGGTCGACGTACTAAATATCACTCTTTATGTAGGAGTGATGATTACTACTGGAAAAATTATTCTTACTTCAACTCGCATTCAGAAAAATGGCACTCACAATCATTTGTTTTTATTTCTTTTATACTACGTCACTTATTCATTCCCTTTATTCTCATTTTGCGTATTTTCCAACTTATACAGCAGCTCGCTTGTGGTGAAAACCCCGTGCTACCTAAAGTATATCGAGTCACTGAGTGGTCGGAATTTGAATGCTACCACCAATTACAATTACTGAAAGTCTTCCTGAACCCATGTTTACCATTCGAACTGGCGTCCAACTTCCGCACTCTAGTGCAGATTGGACAACAGATATGGTTGGCCATGTCTTTAGAAAGTTTTAATCTTGATGTCTGTTGTCTGTCCGTGACCCATATTAGAGAATCTAGTAAAGTACTACCAATTTGCTTTCCATCTGTCGCTTCGAAAACCTTGTTTCACGTATGTTTATCCGGAGACCCTATGGCATCTTCGTCTGGTTGTACTGGCTTTATTGTCGCACCAAACGCTAGAGCTGAGGCAGCACCGATCGATTGGATCCCAATTAACAGTCGGTTACATGTTGTTAAATTAGAAAGTTCCATCAAAGTGCAAGGAAATCGATGTGAGAAAAGGCGTCTTTTCGTCATCTCCGCCTATGCTCCGACAGATTGCAGGCCAGAAGCTACCAAGAATGAGATTTAGCAACAATTAACAAGTCTTATACAGAAAGTGCGTTCGATAGATATTGTAGTAATAGCCGGAGATTTAAATACTCAAGTTGGGCGTTTAGGCACACAAGAGAGACGTTTAGGTGGCCAGTAGGGACTTGTTGGTCGCAGGTCAGAAAACGGGGACCGTCTACTGCAACTATGCGCATACCACGACCTGCTTCTGGCTAGTGCTAACTACCGGCACAGTCATCGCCGATGTGCCACCTGACGTCCTTCCTCAATATCTCAAGCCTATACTCAGACTGGTCACATCGCGATCAGTTACCTCCGCTGTGTTTATGGACAAGACTGCTGCTCCTTTTGGAGTGCCTATCTAGATTCTGATCATACCCTTGCTTGTGCTAATCTTACCTTACGTTTCATTAGCCAACAAATTCATCGTCGTAAACGCATTGATGTCAGCAAATTGGTTGCAGCTTCTGTTGCGACTAAATAACAAATGGAGCTAGGTTCAAGGCTAGTTTCTGATCTGGACGTGGATGTATAGACCAGATATTCACACTACGTCAGGTCCTAGGACATAGACACACATTCAGACGCCCCACAATAGTAGTATTTCTCGACCTAAAGGCGGCATTTGATTCTGTTGATCGTGAGGTACTATGGCAGCGTTTGTCACTTAGAAAGGAGTACCAAAGGCTCTCTACTCGAACACAACAGGTCAAGTGAGAGCTTAGGGCGAACTGTCATCAGAATTGATTACGTCACGTGGTGTCCGTCAGGGTGTCCACCCTCCCCATTCTTGTTTAACTTTGTCGTTGACGTGCTTTTAGAGATGACACTTTCCTCATCTAAATTTCCAAGGGTTGAACTTCTACCGAGAGATTCACTTGTTGACTTGAAATATGCCGATGACATAGTTCTATTTAGTGAAGACGCTGACAAAATGCAGAGTCTTCTGACCGCTATAAGCAACAACGCAAACATGTTCGGGATGCGATTCCCCCTGGAAATGCAAAATGTTGCCTCAGTATTGGGTGGCATCGACACCCGAACTAATGATAGGGAGTGAAGTAGTTGAGCGTGTCGACCACTTCACTCATGTTGGGAGTCTCATCAGCCCTTGTGGTCTGGTGTGTGACGAAATCTCAGCACGGGTACAGAAGGCTCGACTTAGCTTTTGCTAACTTGCGTCATTTGTGGCGTAGGCGAGATATCCGTCTATCAACCAAAGGACGTATTTACTGTGCAGCTGTTCGTTCCGTCCTACTTTATGGCAGTGAAACATGGCCGGTAAGAGTAGGGGATATTTGTAGGTTACTAGTATTAGATCATCGGTGTTTTCGAAACATTGCTCGTATATCCTGGGACCACCGAGTAAGTAATGCAGTTGTTAGGAAACGGGTACTAGGTTAGGATGGAAAATCAATTGATGAAGTAGTGAAACTTCATCAGTTGAGATGACTGGGGCATGTGCTACGTATGCCCAACTACCGACTGCCCCGACGTACGATTTTTTATGGTGTAGGGGTAGGTTGGAAGAAAGCTAGGGGCGGCCAGACCAAAACATGGCACAAATCCATGAAGTCACCGACAAGTGAACTGAGCCATGTTGGTAGGTGTAGACTACCTGGTTGGGATTCGCTGGACGATAGCAACCGACGGTTAGAGACCTTGAATGATATAGCTCAAAATCGTTTGCAACGGCGCAGGTGCATCCACCCTTTGTGTTCTCCCAAATTTTAATCTTCTGAATTCTTCATGTCCCTTATTTTTTCTCCTTCCAAATTTATTTCACTGGATTATACTCCTTGACTAACATCTACCTATTACTGCTTATACTTTCACTACCTCTGCCACTATGGGATTTGAACCGATAATTGTACTTCTGTGATAATGTGGTATGGCAACTAGAACTGATCTACGTACCTACGAAGTTCTACGTTGTTACTGGTTGAATAATGGTAACAATACTCGTATCAAGAATATACCTGCAATAATACAATTACTAAACAGACAATTTTAGATTTAAATATTTAGTATAAGTATAATTCACTAGGCTTATTTGACGCATATAGTCTCAAATCTAAACAATAGCATACAAATACAACTACATTACAAAATAAATGTTTGAGTATTCAGCCTTGAGTCAGATAGTATTTGTAGGTTACTTATAGATCAAAAATAACTTACCAGAGTCTGAATCTTCAACGACAGTCTCATTTCCTCGACGAGGGGCGGGAGCCTTTTCAGATCCAAAGTACCCTACTGATACTTTCCCCACTCGTTGGACAGCTTGAACTGGAGTAACAATACCCCGACCGTCAGAACCAAGACCCTTGCCCGGTTCGTAACCCATCTGCTCTAAAAGTTTCATTCCAATACCCTTTGTGTGCCTTTCCCAAGCCCCGAAACCAGAGGTCGCAGACTTCGCCGCTGCAGCGGCTGCTGCTACACGTCGACTGGCCCCAACTTGCGTTAGGTCCGAGAAACGTGTTGGCCGGAGCGTGTCGATAATTTGGAGATGACAGCTTAGAAGGACATATATATAAGCATCTCAGGCAAAGTGAAGACATACAACCACCTCTCTCCATTGTTCCATTCAAGCACTGAGGTTAGGTATGGTTGCCCAATCTTACCGTTTCTCTCCAACTTTGCTATCGATGATAGTGTGTAAGATAATAGCAAATTCAAATTTTGTCTGAAATCTTATAATTTTTTTGGATAGTCTGGACCACATCTGACAAAATATTAATTTAGTTATGTTGTCGATATTTATTATTATGAATTTCGTTCTTTTCATCACCTTTCAGATAGTTGACGGAGAAGAATCTGAAGTGAATCACCTCAAGAAAGCTTTATTTTTAATAAGGAAGTTTGAAGATGAAGTTACGTTTCATTCAGGCTGTGATGCGAACTTAACATCTGAAGCTATTTCTTCTTGGGTATCACTTATACGTGAGGAATGTGCTAACCTAGTAGAAATGCCTGTTCTCATGGCATCGATCGCTCGCCCAATGTTGGATAATTCACTTGCTAGATGGGATCCTCTTAAGGTAGGTGATGTGTTTTTGCTTTCGATATTCTGCCCAGTGTTATAAATGCAAAACTTTTATCAATAAAACCTTATTAGTTCATCTTTACGCATATATGTCTTGCTGAGGCATTGCAATAATCAGTTTAAAAATGGTTTGAATGAAATTTTAATGAATAGAATTTATTACATATGGGAAGATTTTCATCTAGTCTATTCCGTATTATTAAATATTTGCTTCCTCAAAATTCTAAATTTTCTCCTTAGTATACACATTACTGGTGTCTAATTGATACTAACTGTTTGTTTATTCACTGGTTAATTGTCAACCTACTTGACTTTTAACCTAAGTGCGAATCTAATTTATACCAGATTGATACAATTTCCTGCTGAAACTCATTAATCCGGCAGTTTTAGTGTTGATGGATAATAATTGTAGCTGAAATTAAGGATTTTGGAGTTTCGTTTTCTTAGATCCAACCGAGGTGTGTTAGCTGGAACATTTATTCCTTTAGGTCCTATTGTGCCAACATGTCGTTTGGGGAACAGTAAGACTTAAAGCAGCAAATTAAGGTCCGAGAGCGAAATAATGCTGCTGACTGTACAGATGTGACGACAGTAAGCTGTTTCTCTAAGGAGACCAGAAACTGCAGAGATGCTGCCCTTTTAAAGTCATCACTAAACATTACTTCTACTCTCAATATTGACCCTCATCTACCTTAAACTGCTTCAATGTATGTCCCAACGCTAATAATTCTAGTTCACAAAATGCCACCCCGAGTCCCCTGAAACTGCTCTCCGAACTACATGTTTATAGCTTTCACTATCCGGATCGCATGTCGAATCGAGCAACAGGCATCATTAACTAAGACCCTGGAATCTCTTGATATCGATATATGCTGTCTCCGAGATACACATATAGCGTTCTAACATGGTTTCCCACTTGACGCCACCTAGCCTGAAAGCTAGATAGGGACTTCTTGACTGGATTCCTATCAAAAGTCGTTTATGTGCTGCTGGTCTCAATGGTACAATAAGAATTCGGAGATATAAGGACGTACCGTTTCCTCTTTATTTTTTCTGCCTACACCTCCACTAATTGCAGCTCAGATGGAGTAAAAAAAGTTTTACAGGATAATGTACAACCCTCAGAAAGTCAGAAGTAATGGTAGCAGGCAGGTTTAACGTCTAGGTCTGTAGACCAAGTCGAACTGAAAAATATTGAGATGTCAGCCTAAGATGACCGGTTATTACTAGCAATAACAACACTGTCTAGTCTAGCGTGCCTCAGCATCAAAACAACGATGTACACAACTAGATCATATCGCTGTCAGCCATTAGAGAAGCTCGATAGAAGGCTACAACTTACTGAAGTACATGCTTGACCAAGCCCTAATGAGAGCAAACATTTCTGTTCTTATGGTACGATGTGGTCTGTTTGGTTTATTATTAACCCAGTATGCTTGAAATACATGATTCATATCAAAGAGGCTGAGATTGGTGTTCTGGACTCAACAGGCAGGGCTAGGCAGTAAAACGGACGGATAAGGACTCTAGACTGCTCGTACGGGTTTACGCGTCATTGGTCCGGTCGATAAATCACTGCCATTTAATTGGCGGAATCATTACGTTATATGTTGGTAGGGGCACAAAGCGACAAGTTATAACATACTGGCGCCGATATATTCACGCCTCATTCTCTCGACCTTGAATTTCAATATCCATTCATACATAACTTTCTACTCTCTCCTTGTAAATCATATTCCCAAGGTTTTACTTTTTGTCATTGCTACTACATTATTTCAATCTCTTTTGTTATTTTCATCTCGTGCTAATCAGGTTTGGCAACGCGTATCTATCACAGGCTCTGTGTAGATGATCTCGTTTAATGTTTATCGAGTAAAGTTTAACAACTTATTGCTCATGAAACATGTGAATCACGCATATCTATGACCACTCACTGTTACATATATTTATTTGCGTTTTAAAATATTCAATACAACACAATGTTGGTGCGCCACAAATAAGCTTAAGAAATAATCTTATCTATTTTGTGGTTTGATCTTCCTAGTGTTTTTCGTGCGTTGAATGAGTATAACGGTCGTCTTGTGGGTCCTTATTACTAATTCTTTTAACATACCCAAATTAGGAACCTACATTTTGTCTCGATTTGTTGGGACACTGGAGGGATTTCTTTCAAAATTCTTGCGCATTTGATGTTATACTTGAAACAAGCTGGTTGAGCGCCATACGCCGCACTATTGTTAACGAATGGAATCCTCGAGACTGCGAACCTCTCCTGGAGGTTCTCGAAGCCTGGCAACCTTTGTTACCGGATGATATGTTGCAGCGCAAAATACTCGACCAACTGATTCTTCCAAAATTACAGGTTCGTTGAATTTAGATTTCGATAGCTTCCTCTGCCATTGTTCGTTGATACTGCACATTTACTACAATTGTCATAAGTATTTAATACTTGCTGTTTAGTTTTAATTAGTTATTTTACCTTATTTTCAGTGAACTGCTTATCCGTAGCCTAAAATAAAGGGTATCCAAAGGCCACTTTCAGTTTGCGGTTATTTGTATATTGCTATATTTTATATTTAATCAGTCGTGAGCATATGCGCAGTGGATCCAAGTTATCGCACTATACATTTATGACATATATTGATTCCATAAAGTAAAACTTTATTGAAATAGAGAGATTTTAATGAATCAGTCTGTCTTGGTCTTAATTTTACTTTTGTCTAAAAACGATCCTTTCCATCTCAGTTTTACTACTTGATATAATTACATAGTTTACCTACTCAACTTCGAAATTCCTGGGTAATTAACATTAGAACGTTATAAAAGGAGTAGAGTTTAACAAAACAAACCCAGGTATCATAGAACTTCAAGACTCAATATTTTGTAAAAAATGTATTCAGTACTCCTGGTGTTTCTGTCAACCAAGATCTGTAGTTGTTGGTTTTTACATTTTTCTCCGGAAAACTACAGATATGCATACAAATTTATTCAGCAGATACCAATCTCACAATCATTTTCGTTAACTTGGTTCGAAGTTTTCTTGACTAATTTAATTCGGCTAACGCTAAACTTCATATATTAGTGCATGTTTGATTCACAGCCAAGGTAAATGTTGAGTGTACTTTTGTATTGTATGTGGTATTTATTAGACCGCTTGACTTGTAAACAGTGAGTCCTATTTTTTTAAGACACAATATCACTTACTAACTTTTCGAATGATTCCGTAATTCCTTCTTACTATGTTATTTCTAAACACGTCCAACTTTTAGGATGCTGTTTCCTCATGGAATCCGTTAACTGATACAGTACCTGTTCACACTTGGTTGCATCCCTGGCTACCTTGGTTTGGAGGAGTTGAACGTCTCTCATGTTTGCATGATATGGTTCTCCAGAAGTTGGGAAGTTGCCTTACCAACTGGCATCCTAGTGATGCATCTGCCCGCTCAGTCCTAATGCCTTGGCGAACCATTTTCCCGGTCACGTCCATGGCAGCTTTCTTAAGTCGCCATGTGGTGCCGAAACTTGCTTTAGCGTTGCAACAGTTTCAAGTTAGTTTTTACTCGTTTATTTACAGTAGTTTGGCCTTAACAAGCTTTTTAATTTGACCGCTAAATATAACCTATTAACTGGTCAGTGCATTCACAGATTCTTTTTCTTAGTTGGCTCCTAATAAATCCAGTGCGGTGGTATACTTCTCATTTCATTGTAAGTAATAGGTTGACTACTCTCTTTATAATTCCTTTGTGGTGCAAGTAATCTATTATCAGCTTTTAAAATAAGTGTTGTCCTTTAGTTTAATGTCTTAATTATTTATTATCGTTTTTATAACAGAATATTTTAGTTTACATAAACCTTCATCAAAATCTAAACGAACGCTTACACTCATAAATATGTGATATTCGGAATAACATTATTTATGAAGGTCTAAATAAAAGACGAACTTTGTTCACTGGGAATCTCTTGGTTGTATTTCTAACTGAATTATATCTCTTATTCTGTTCTTGTTCACTTTCCTATATGAACTTTATCCCTTATTTATGTGGCGCATGAATTTCTGGTGCTTGAATATACCATATTTTGTGTACTAAATATGGCATGAATCTCTCTGAAGATTGCTGGTAAAATATTTGTGACTGTTTAACTTCAATTGCTGAGGTTTCTGCATACATAACTCCATTTTACGTATTAATTATCGTTAGGAACTAAACACATGCATCGTTTGACACCCGTTCTTAGTATGTGATTGAAACATACGAAAAGGAAATCCTATGATAATCAGATGTCGTCTACTTGGACACGATAAAAATATCTCGGACACGCAGTAATATGAATAAATTACCAACACTGTGTGTATGTTAAGCTACAAATAGTAGGTATAAGAAAATCCTGCTCAGTCTGGCAAGTGTATACAAGTCTAGTACATTTTATGTTATGATAGAATGTAGTCCTACACATAATTTGGAAAATACTGACAACAAAACAGTTGATTGGAAGCTAAAACTTCCAAATGGACTGACAATACCTTTTTTACTGACATTTCAATTATTACTGTTGTTGCACCTCTCAACTAAATCCTAAGGGGTTTCCACATAATATACAATTTAGGGACTAATATGTTAGGTATTTATTTATGATCATACCTCTGATGTCGAGCTTCTATGCAATATTTTTTTCGAAAAATTCTAATATTTAGCTTAATCCCGCTAAGCAAAACATGGATCCGTGGAATTGGGTGATGCGTTGGGCAGACTTGATTGGTCCGGCTGTACTTGTAAACCTACTTGAACATCATTTCTGGTCACGTTGGCTGTCAGTCCTTTCAAGTTGGCTGAATCAGGGGGTAGAAGCTAGGCAACGTGGAGACCACACTGCTGCCGGTCAAGTTTATCAAGAAGTTGGCCGTTGGTATGCTGGTTGGAAAGGTCAGTTACCTCCTGAGTGTATGGAATATGCAAGTGTCAAAGATGCTTTGACAAAAGCTTTGGCAATGATGGAACGTTCAATGAGAGGGTTACCGCCTCAAGTAAGTTATTATGGGTTTGGATTCTTTGAGATGTCATTTTAAATACTGTTTGTTGAGTTACTAAGGTGGTTTCTTAACCATAAGTTCTTAATTGTATATTCACAAAGTTCAGGTGGATATGCTATGCAAGAATTCCATTAGAAAGTGGGGAAACTCAAAATACCATTACCTAAACTCTAATGGCTTTCAAAGATTTAGATAAATGTTGTTTGTCAAGTAAAGTAGTTCATTTAATTTAACCATAGATCTCTCACTCCTGACATAATTTTAAATCAATTATAAGATCGCAAAATGTATCAATTACATCCACAATGATTACGTAACGAGGCTTTCTGCGATGCAAATATGTAACTTATAATTATACTTACGCATTACCTAAATGTCAGGAAACACGTAATCTAAGAGTACGTAACTTACAAAGTAATTATCACAAAGCCAAGTACATGTACTAATTTTCCAGTTTTCTCACGCACACCATATTTTACTGTTTGCTAAGTCATTTTGCTAAACAATACTGCTGACATCTCCCAAGAGTACCAGATAATGGTAATAGTCTAGTCTGGAAAAAAATCATATATTATTTGTAGACTTAAGATAAACTTCTAACTTGCTTTAAGTCTTGTGTACTTCTGGGAATCCGCACTTTATTTAGGAACCTCAGGTCTCAAAGCAAGGTCAGTCAAATGTGTCAAGGTATCCTGCTGGCTCATCAGGCGTACTTCCACCAGCTTTTGGATCATCAACACCTTTGGTTGCTCCTCCTCCGACAACACTACGTAAACAAGTTGAACAAGTAGCAGCGCAGCGCGGCTTCCTATTCCATCCTATTTCAAACAGGATGTTCGAAGGTCAACAAGTATACAGACTGGAATCACTACAAGTGTTTTTCGACCGCAACGTCAGTTATGTGTACAATCCCAGTGATGGTGGCTGGCTTCCTGTTACATTTGCTGAGTTGATGACCCGTGCTCAGTACTGACTTAATCTTTTGACTTTGTAAATTTCTTTTTCAAACATTACTTCTCACAAGGTTATTGTATATAGTTACTTCCAGATTTTCTTTGTAATTTCTCCTGAGTGATATAAAAAGATAATTGCGATAAGTTTTCATACTTTTCGGGATTTTGTCTACTGTTGTCGTAAAGTGTACCTCTTTAGACTGCGCACAAATACAGACGAAAGCAGTTCTGTCATAAACAAGATTTAAGAATATTATCAAAACCAAATATGTTCACTCATGTCGTTCGGAGATATGTAAATCAAGTCCCAGGACTTGTTCGTAACAGAAAGCCGAAATTACGTGTTTAAACACTATTAAAGAATTACGAGCCATGTACTTTGCGTATGGGCTTATATATACGCGTCCAGAAGTCCATATTCGATTTATCTACTGTGTAAGGTAATTTCACACCGGCGAAAGCATTTGAGCAGCATACTAACCGTCTCTCGCAAGCACGGACCGACAAACCTCCTAGTTATGTTATGCTGAGTTGTAAGCAGCATATCTAGCTGTTCTGATGAATCGTACGGTAAACTATTAAGCATATCCGCTTTCACGACGCTCCAACATAAACGAAAATGGGTAGATATGAAATATGTTAGGAGGAAAGCTTTATTTATTAAGAAATATTTCGAATGCCCATGCATTGGTACGGCTAATTACAATCAAAGTAAGATCTTATACCACAAGTTCCGTAGAGAATGAAGCTAGTAGCAATGAGATGAAAGTAGATTACTATATTTCTGGATACAAGAAATTTTTCAAGTGTTCAGAGTGGACAAATAGTAAGGCTTAGTGAGTGTTGTTACTGGTTGTGATATTTGTTTGATGCCATAGTTTGACGCCTCTGACACAAGCCTATTGTTGACTTCTGTTAACAGTTCAAGAATGTGAAGCCTGTGCCCATGCAACCTCGTTACCTCGACAAACACCTTTACATACCAACTCCCCTCTATTTCAGACCGCCAAGACACAAATCCAGGTAAGGTAGAATACACAATTACACAGTCACTCATATGTGGCAGCGACAGCCAAGAGCTGGGATCTAATGAAACTTCACAAAAGTTTGATGGTAGAGAGTCTAGAAAATCACGCTTTACAAGAGCATTATGATTACGTTCTTCACCTCTACAGGCTTGTATAAGTATGAGTTTAGGTTTTCCAGCTAGAAGAGGGCACTTTTTGTTAGTAAAACAACTAACAAGTTCGTCAATGCTAACATGGGTGCCGTCACTTGCTATAATATGATGTTCTAACCCATGTGCTAAAATAATAAGGACAGCCGCATGTACGTTACTATGCTCTGGTTTGCAAGCGAATTCTCGCACTACTTTTTTAAGTTTTTCACCCTCTAGATTTTTAATGACAGCAACACTATACATGAAGTCCTCAAATAGAATTTGGAGTTTAGATGCATCGTGTGACGAACCATGACGATTAGGTACTCCGGATTCACGATTGTAATCTTCTATATTTATTATGAGAACGTAACCACGCGGGAACGAAGTTACAGTGTAGGGTGTCAACGGATGTGAGCTAACTCTATCTGGGATCATAATGGATTCATCTCTTGTATCAGATAAGCGTTCTGATGATATACCATGACCAGCTAGAACTTTTAGTTCCTCTGTTTCGTTCAAACGATCATATATACTCTTTTGGTTGGTTTCTAGAAGAGCTTGCTTAAACTTATCATATGCTGATGGGCCACATCTGACTATAATATCTAAGAATCTACGGATCTTTTCAGCTAATGTTGCCCCACAGAGTATTGAGTGCCGTTGATTTTCAGTAATAATTAGTGCGGATTCCAGTATATCGAGGATTTCTTCAAGGTTAGAAATATTTTTTACAAGAAAAACACGCAGCTTCCTAATGACGTCGCGATGTTCCTTCTCCATATGAACACAGAAAAATGCGTCCAACAAACGAATTGGTAAGGGGAATGTTGAGAAGACAGAGAGACCAAGTGACAACAGTATTTCTGATTACGCATAGGAAATTAACCTAAGACAGAAAAAGTGAATGTTTTGGAATAAATCAAATACAGTGAACTTTTATGTAAATGTTGACAATTAGAATATCTCCCAATGTCTAACATTCTTATTTTAACACGTGAGTTAGTCAATTCAATTATACTTCGACTGCTAAATTGTGTGATGTAATGATCGTAAAATCAAATAACCGCAATAAAGCACACTGAAGACAAATACAAAAAAGCGAAGAAGTGCTACAAGATCTTAGTAGAATATGGAGATTGTTATCATTTAATGAGACAGTGAGGACTAACCATGTTTTCACGGACAATGAAACGTTCCTCATATATTGTGATGATTCGAGTTAACAAAATGCAAAAATTATTCGAGAAAGAGGAATCTGACCGTTAAAAACTTTAGCAGCTTTAGCCCCTACTCTGAAAAGGTCCAAGTTAACTGCATGAGTTTTCATTTGTCCTCGAGTAGAGCTAGTAATAAAATTTTACAGACCGAGATTAAATCGTCTAGAAAACATAGGCCTACGTCTGGAGATTATTTTAACATTATAAGTAGCTTTATTCAGTGTTATGTGATGTAGAGTCAAAAATTACTGTAGTTTTCCGCCAACACAAGGATGTTAGCATCTTTAGATACGTTTGCGGTAGGATTGGTTCCTTATGGTACTATGAATTGTGAGCGCTGATATAGACCTGTTTTTCCTTGATTTATTTCATGTAGTTATTACATAGAATAATCTCAATATCTTCGAAAACTAAGACCAAATTACTTATACATGGAGCATTGCTTATTGGAATTCACCACCAAAAAATCATTATAAGCACTTTCTGTCGATATATCGGACGTACGTCACGTCTCACGTGAGATGAATTAATTAATTTACGAAGCACTACGAACCATGAAGATTAGTAGAGGTCACTTGACTTGCTGATTTCACTGTTAAAGTTCACCTAGGCTTCTACTATCAATACTGAAATATCTCTATGCTTATAAGCATGATGGCTAAAATAGATATTTCCCTTGGTTACTTAGGTAGACCACTGAAGATAAATACTTTCATGACTTATTCATGGTAATCTACGTATTTCTAGGAGAATTTCGTGAATACTTACAGCGAACTGACCATAATACAAAGTGTGTACATACTTGGACAAACAAGGCAACTAGGTAACCGAACCACTAAGGTTCATAATAACGCCAGAGTGCAAAATGGTTCAAATGGTTCAAATGGTTGTGGACGGAATAGAAGAAGCTTTCGCTTAACAGGCTTCCGTGTCTAGTAGCAGGGGATCACCAAATCCTCCAGGCAGGAACCTAGGTATGTTAACAATAAAAGAGGAAAAGAAATTGGTAAATCATAGTGTGATGCTGTCCTTGGTCCTTAAGAATAGGTCAAGTTGCCTCTTGAAGGACTCCTGAGAAGTCGCTTGGACTAGCTCGGCCGGCAGCGAATTCCAGCTTTTGACAACTCTTAAGGAGTAGAAGTTGTGTCTACATTCCGTCTTGCTATGTTGTGTTTCCAGTTTCTGGGTGTTACCCCTTAGGTTATTATTCGAACTAAGCTTAAGTAGGTGTTTAAGAGGATGTCCAGAAGTGTTAAGAATACTATAAGCCATTAATAAATCACCTCTAAGACGCCTATATTCTAATGGGTAAAGGTCTAGTGAACGGAGGCGTTCTTCGTAAGGCTTAGATTTGAGTCCTCGAACTGATTTCGTGGCTCGCCGTTGGATACGCTCCAAAGTGACCTTGTCCTTTTGGAGTGAGGGGGGAGTACTATGTTTCCGTACTCTAAATGGGGACGGATGAAACTATTGAAGATTGTGTGGAAAGTTCGTCCGTCAAACTGTCCAAAAATGCGCTTCAACGTTACCAGTGCAAGGTTTGCTCGGAAGGCATTTTTGTCACAGTTAGCGTAAGACTTTAAATCATGGGGCACCAGGACTCCTAAATCTTTTTCGACTTGGGATACTACTAGAGAGGAGTTTCCTAAGTTGTAACTGTAGTTTGCACATGTCGCAGATGGACTACTTTACACTTTGAAGTGTTAAAGGTAAGTCCGTTATCGTCTGCCCAACTTTGAAGTCGAGTCAGATCCTCCTGAAGTGCCTGTATATCGTCTTGGTTGCGTATCTCTCTCCAAAGTTTCACGTCGTCGGCAAAAAGTAATAAGTCTGACGTTACCTGTTGAGGAAGATCATTTATGTAGATCAAGAAGAGAAGAGGCCCTAGTACTGAGCCCTGGGGGACCCCACTAGGACATTCCATAGCCTGAGATAAAGTGAAATTAACCCTAACCTTAAAGTGTCGATTTTTTAGGTATGAAGTAAGCCAATCGATTAGAGGTGGTTTGATACCTAGTCGTTTGAGCTTGTTGATAAGACACAAGTGGTTAACCTTATCAAAAGCTTTTGAGAAATCAAGGTAAATGACATCAACCTTTCCCTTGCGATCGAGGATGCTTGTCCATCTGTCCACCGCAGTCAGCAGGTTGGTTATACAAGAGTAACCCTTCCTGAAACCATGCTGTTGGGGTGAGAAGAAATTTAAGGACAGTAGATAGTCATTTAAACCGTCGCATATCAGGGACTCCATGAGTTTTGAAGGTAATGACAGAAGAGCCACCGGCCGATAACTTGAAGGTTCATTGCGTCGACCACCTTTGAAAATTGGTGTGATGTGAGCCAACTTCCAATTTTCCGGTAATTTGCCTCGGCTAAGCGAGTGTGAAAACATCACGCTAAGCGGCGTTGCCAGGATTGAGGCTGCCTCCCTCAGTATGGCAGGATGAACCATATCCGGGCCAGGAGAAGTGTCTAGTCTTAAGTGCTGCAATTTCCGGAACACCAAGTCAGCGCTTAGGTCCACTTCAGAAAGTCCTGTGGAATTGCAGATGAAACTGTCGTCAGTAAAGTTGATGTCAGCCGGTTGAAATGTTTGAGAGTAATGTGCCGCCAGAAGGTTAGCGGCGTCGCCATCGTTGTT